CAAAGTGGATCTCAGTGGCTCTGAGCAGACACAAGGGCTGTACTATCTGCAAGGCAACAGCACACTGTGAGGGGACTGCAGGCTCAGGCTGATTGTGTGCGTTCAGATACTGTGCATCGCCCACTAGTGGTAAGACATGGTCAAGTGATAACCTTTTGACTCGAGTTTCCTTACCTTAAAATGGGAATAAAAACAAGCCAGGCACAGCTGCGCACACCTGTGACTCCAGCACATGAGAGGCCCGAGGCAGGAGGATCGCTGTGAGTTCAAGGCCAGCACCTGGACTAGTGAGACTTTGTCTCAAAAGGGGGTGGGGGGCAGAACTGCCCATGAAATAGAAAATGTGGTAATACCTAGAATTGCTACTAGCTATGAACTATTATTTTGACAAACATCTGCTTTCCTTCATATCAGTGATGCGACACTTTGCCAGAATAAGAACTTTTCTTTTTTGGTTGTACTGAACCCAGGCCCTTTACACTGAGCTACATCCTCAGCCCTTTTCTAATTTTTATTTTGCGATGGGGTATTCCTAAATTGCCCAAGCTGGGCTCGAACTTGCAACCTTCCTGCCTCCTTTGCCTCGAGTGCTAGAATTCTAGGGGTGCACTATCATTTACAAACCTTAGTTAGCAATCTCTCCAGTAATTTAACTTTAGTTCCTTAAGATGCTAGTTCTCCTTTCATCCAACAAAGCATCTCCCAAATAGCTTGTCCAGTCTGAGTTACGTCTGGCGGAAACTAGCAGACATTTTTAAACATGCATCACTTAGGGGCCAGGTATTTAGCTCAGTGGTTCCAGTGCCTGCCTCATAAGCACAAGGTCCTGAGTTCGATTCCCAGTACCAAAACAAAAATGCATCATTTAACAAATATCTTTACCTAAACTAATAACAAAATAGACTTTTCTCAAGGGCTGGGGATTTAGCTCAGTGGTTCCGGCGTCTGCCTCGAAAGCATAAGGACCCGAGTTGGATCCCCGGTACCAAAAACAAAAAACGAAAAACAAAAAACAGACTTTTCTCATTATTTAACAGTGTTGACCAAGTCTGACTCAAGACTCTGCTACATTTTTGCTTCTATGCAGCCCCAATGTTATGAATGACACTTTAAGAATCTAAAGGACTGCTGGGCTGAAGCAGAAGGGTCACAAGTTCAAAGCCACCCTGGGCTGCATCCCAAGACCCTGTCTCAACGGAAAAAAAAAAAAAAAAAATAAGAGGAAAAAAGAAACTAGTTATAAAGAAGTTAGTTTAAAATGATTTTTTTACCTGAAAGGATATAATCCATATTTTTCAACACCTCCCCCTCAAATTACAACTGCTCGTAAAGTACCCCACCATTGCAAAACCTGCAGAAAATAGTCACAAAGAATTGTGCAATTTTTCTTGAGACAGGGTCTCCCTACATAATTCAGGCTATCTTGGAACTTACTAAGTAGGCCAGGCTGACCTTGAACTTACTGCAATCCTCTTGCCTCAGCCTGCTGCACGCTGGGATTAGAGGTATGGGCCACAGTGCTCTGCATGGAATGTGCAAATTATATACAAAGTTTCAAAAGTGGTTTAAAATGTACAAGAATCAGGGCAGGGGATTTAGCTCAAGGCTGTCTCCTGACTCCAAAGCACCGAGTTCGCCCTGAGTTCAATTCCCCGTACAAAGAGAAAGAATCAGAAAGGGAAATTGACCCAACACCTTTGATCAATTCCCTCAGATGACTTTGATACTTACTCTATGGCTGGATTTCTCTTTTTTTTTGGTACTGGGGATTGAACTTGGGTTCTTACACTTGTGAGGCAGGCGGCAGAACCACTGGGCTAAATCCCCGGCCCCTGGATTTCTCTTTTAATAATCAAAATAACTTAGGAGTATCCCCTTGTCACAGATGAGAAATTGAGTCTTGCAAAGATGAAATACTACATAGCAAGGTACCAACTACACAAAGCCTGGAGTAGAATTAAAAATCCAGGAGGTCCAATCCCACACTTCTCCAAGATCCTACACTTTCAACCCTCTATAACCCACTTGGCCCTCTACAGCCACAGGTTCTGTACTAAAAGATTCAACTGAGCAAAATGATTCAGAAAAAAATTTTTATCTGTACTGAACATGTACTTTTTTCTTATCACTATTCCTTAGACAACATCACTACAACTTATATAGCATTTAGAGTGTATTAGAGTGTAAGTAATCTAGAGATGATTTAAAAGGTAAAGTGGGATGTGTATAAATTACGTGCAAATATGACACCACTGTATATACTGGACTTGAGCATCTGCATAGTTTGCTATGGGGCGACAGAAACCAACTCCTCATGGATACCAAAGGATGAGTGCAGCAGCATTTGCAAACTGCTGATTAGAACATGTCAATGGGTTATTAGTTAATTTTATCATAGCCAACACTTCTAACAATTCACATATAGAACCAATAATTACTGAAGAGAAAAAAATAAAACCAGAATTATTGCAGAGCCCATGCACAGGCATGCCTGTGAACCCAACACTCAGGAGGCTGAGACAGGAGGATCACTGAGTTGGAGGCCAGCCTGGGCTACATAGTGAGTTCAAGGCCAGCCTGGACTACACAGCAAGACCCTATTTCAAAAAAACAAAAAATAATAATTGCAGAGCATGTAAAGAGAATGTTATCACTTGAATTTTTTATATATGCATATAAGGTGCCGGGGATTTAGCTCAGTGGTTCCGCCACCTGCCTTGCAAGCACCAGGTCCCGAGTTCGATCCCTGATACCAAAAAAAAAAAAAAAAAAAAAGGCTGCATATATATGTACTAGATCACAATGTAAAATATATTTCTTCTGTAAGATGTAATAAAAACGGGGCTGGGGGTTTAGCTCAGTGGTGCCGCCGCCTGCCTCGAAAGTGCAAGGTCCTGAGTTTGATCCCTGGTACCCCCCCCCAAAAAAAAGATGTAATAAAAACGTTTGAAAATCACTGCTAAAATGTATTTACTGCTTCCCAAAAAATTTGTAAGATAGGTAACCTGATGAGTTTTATACCATATCTGACTCATTAAATAAGAGTCTGTGCTATTCAAGAGCCTTTCCATTGAACAAAAGTTCAATGATATCCTAAGGTTGTTCTCAATACCTGGGGAGTTCAAGTCACATCAAAGTGGATCTGTCAATCAGTACATAAAAAAGATTTTCAAATACTTATAGTATTACATAGTTTTACTTCTAATTAGGTAATGTAAAAGCAATTCTACACTAACTTTAGGCAGGCAAAGCCTGGGAACCCGTAGAGGCTAATGTACCAGTTATTCTACTTGACGGGATCAGAACTGAGTGTTCTTGTCCTTCACAGGTAGCAAGTTTCAACTCAAAGTTCAACCTAAAGGAAACAACAAAATGGGTAGTATATCAGTAACAAAAGCCTTCAGGCCGCAGCAGGACTGGTGGTGCAAGCTTATAATCCTAACACTCCAAAGGCTGAGGCAGCAGGATGGCTCAGAGTCTGATGCCAGCCTGGGCTATATAAAGAGACCACGTCTCAAAAAAATAAAGCCTTCTCGGCAAATCACTTTTAAAAGCATGAAAAGAATTTTCATAATGCCTGTTTTGAAAGGAATTTCAGCAAAGCCTTAAAACATACAAAACTACCTGACACGTAATAGCATTCAATGAATGAATGAATAGTAGGGTTCTTTTTAACATTTATCCAATAACGAAAGTGAAGTTTCGTTTAAAATTCTGAAGGGAGTTGTATGGAATTGAATTAGATTAAGATCGCTCCAGAGTCAGCTGGTAGAACTGTCTGCAAGTGTTGAGCTGACTGGTGCAGGGCCACCTGGGGTGTGACAGTGTGCTGGACCCCCCCTCTCCCGGGACTCCTTGGAGGCCTCGAATTTACCTCAACATCCACTTCTAACAATCAACTTTAAAAGGTCAAAGGGGAGCCAGTTTCTAACCTTCCCACAACACGTGTTCCACACAAACTTCCGGGTGCAGTTACAACTGACTGCGCAATTCAATGTATTAAGAACGTTGCTTTGACTCTCATTTTCTCGCCCGTTCTTTTCCCACGTTTCTCAACCAGCGACTCCCCAAAACAAAAGCCTCTCCCAGTAAACAGAGAACGCACTTGAAAACAGTTTCTCTGAGCAAGGATCAAGTGAGTGGTCCGCAAACATTAACCAAACAGAAGCACAAAGCCGGGTGGAAAGGGGAGGAGCTGGATACCAGGATCAGGAAAGAAACAATCACAAGGGTTCAGAACATCCAAATCTCCTCAGCAGTTAAACCGATCCCAAACCACTTCTGGGAAACCACCAGCAGCAGACACTGCTTTGGGGAACTTCAGATGCTCTGGACAGTCAGCACTGTCCAGAGGAAGCTAATGCGCCACTGCCATCCCTGCCACATATTACCTACCTTTGGGTCCGGGAGGCCGGCACGCTTGCTCCAGGCAAAACTAAGCTCATCACCGGGTGAGACGGGAACGTAGCCCCCACGTGCCCCACGCACTGTCCCCGCCGCACTGGGCTCGAGGTCCGCGCGCACCCGCCGGAGAGGGGCGCCGACCCAGGACAGACGACCCCGCCGCCTCCTTCCCTCCCTCTTCCCAAAGCGGGAGCAATGCTCAGGCAGAAGCGGGACTTGGAAGGAGCCCGAATTCACTTTCCCCGCGGCTTCGGGGCCTCGCGGCACCGGGTGCTGCGGGGACGCTAACGGGGTGACCCTGGCGTGGCCGGCGTGCGCAGACTCTGCTGCCCCCACCCCCGGGCGCCTCGGGCTCGGGACGGCGGGGTCCGGGAGCCGAGAGCCCCACGCGCAGAGCCCACAGGGCCAGCGCTGACGGACGGGGAAAGCGAGGGCAGCAGGGCCGCCCCCGGGACCGGGCATATGAGGGAACGGCGAGCGGGACGCGAGGCCCCGAGCGGGGTGAGATGGCGACCCCCCCAGCCCGGCCCCCACACAGACCCCGGGAAAGGTGGGAGTGGGAGGCTGTCCGGGAGGGCGAGTGTGGAAGGACTTACTTTCCCCGCGGGAGCCGACGCCAGGACAGCTTCTCCCAAGCGGTGAGAGCTTGAAGAGCCCAAGGCGACTGGAGCGGAGGCGGCGGCGGCGGCAGTGGCAGCGGCGTCCGGCTCTGCCTACCTCCCCGCCGCCATCTTGACGCCCCTCCCCCGGCCCTCCCCCGCCCGCCGGCAGGGGATGGGGCGGGGCGACGGGCCAGGCGCCGCGCAAGGCTGCGCGGGCCGAGCCCCCACGTGACTTCCTCCCCCCCACCTCGTTCCCCCGCGCCCCTCTCCGCCCCGCCTCCACCTAGGTGAAGGAAGATGATTCTTCCCCCCCATCTTGACCGACCCCTGCCTTCGCCACCAAAAACGGACTCCGCTGGCTTCTGCTGGCCTGGTATCAGTGATTGGATCCAAGGGAATTCCGAAACTCAAACGGTCCATTATCGCAGCTCTGGGGTGGGCGAGGGGTGAGGGGGCCGGGTTTCCGCGAAGGGGGAGGGGGGGAAGGCGAAGGCCGCCTAGGACAGTCACGTGTCTACTGTTTCCGCCGGCGTTCGATAAGACCTCGCGAGAATTACGTTCCCCCTCCCTTTCTGCCGCACGGGCTGTCGGGAAGAAGGTCTGCGTTCTTGGATGCGACCAGGAGGTCGGTGGGGAGACGCGCGCATGCGTCCCACACCTGCTTTCAAAGTCCGGCTGGGAGGGGCCCGAAGCTATTTTCAGAATCCTGTCCTTGGGTAGCTACTGACCAGGAAGTTACCTAGTGGCATTTCTGTTACTTTGAAAACCTCATTGCCTAAGCATCTCAGAAAAACAATGTTCATATATTCATTGCTTGCTAGTCTCGCTCAAAGCACTCTACTGAGTACGAAAGCTCAAGTAACTCTCATCTCCTGCCTGGTCCGCGCCATTATCCCCTTGATGAGGAGCGTGAACGCGCAGCTGCACCCGGACACAGCGGCCACCTGAATAACTATTGCTCTCGATTAATGATTGCTCCGAGAGGGCTGCCCTACCATTTCTCACTTCTTTTCGTCTTTGAATTGTTCTTAAGTGGCTTAACAGACTACATCCGTTAACTTCTCGGAAGCCCTTTTGTAAAGTCATTCTGATCGTGCTGTTTGATTCCGTTGCTTAGGTAATAAGCACGCCTGGGTGGTTCTTGCCCCCTACTGGCTGACCGTCCCGCATGTGAGCCAACCGAGAGCAGTTAAGGTTAAAGTTGGTGTACTCCAAGAAAAAGTATGGAAGGGGAAAGGGGCATAGCGAGGATAATTAAGGCTCTTCCAACCTAGCGTTTGTACACATATATAGATGTATTATACGTGTGTTCATACATACGCAATATAAACATGTCAAATGGGCAGTATCTTTAAGCTATCACTTGTCTTTTTAATATATTTTTAGTTAACACAGTAACTCATATTTATGGGTACAGTGTGACATTTCAATACATGTATACTTTGGGGTGTCATTCCCAGAATATCTTGCGGGTTTTTTTGTTTTTGTTTTTGTTTTGGTACCGGGGATCGAACTCGGGTCTTTGCGCTTGCGCAGCAGGCGGCAAAACCACTGAGCTACATCCCCGGCCCTGCTTCCCAGAATATCTTATCGGGTGTGTGGGTTTGTGTGTGAATGTGTGTGTGTGTGTGTGTGTGTGTGTGT